TCTAGCTGCGAGACAGACCAGAGTGTAAACGGGCTGGGATTAGGCAGGCTGGGCTGTCGTGCATATGCTGAGTTAAAGCCCTGAGTTCCCTGAATAGTCCATGAAAAAAGGCAGCTTTTTAGGGATTCTCCTGCCACCATAGATGGGCATTGATGCTGAGGCAAGGGTTGGTCTCTCACCATCACTGTGGGGATGGATCCAGACACATTTACACACCAGTATTTTCATTTTCTCGTCTGCCTGAGGGTGTGACAGCACCACGACCTGATGGGGTGCAGTCCTGCCACAAAGGTGCTGGTTTGTGGTGCTGTCAGAGGGATGAGTGAGTGATTTAGAACAGCACTGTTATTAAAAGCCATAGTAGGAATTTGGCTGTGACTTAAGGAAAAGAAATCAACTTCAATTCCTCTAGTCAATACCAGTATAAACACAGGATTCCTGAACAGAAGCCACTGACTAATCCTGGATAGGATTTGCCAGCAAACCTGGAGAGAATTCATCCATTTGGTTTTATGGGTTGCTATTTTTGTGTACTATGGAGAGATGTTTGTCATATTTATTTACCTGGCACCACAGATCTGACGGTGGGCAGAGCCCTGCCATCCACAGCACCAGAACAGTGAGCACATCACACCACCCCACCAAGATGCTCCTCACCAGAGGAAGGTGTAAGGGAGTGTCTACAGTAACATGAACGGAATTAATAATTTTGTAAGCCTCCCAGACTAATGGGAATTCAATAGAAGACCTTGGAAAAGCGTGTAGAGAGAATGGTGATGGATGCCAAGAGGACAGGCTGCACCTTGTGTCTCCCAGCTCCAACACCTGGTTCTTCTTTCCCATTCCCTTCAGACCTGAGGCTCTTTTGCATCTTCTTTTGAAGGCATTGCAAGAAGAAATGTAGGCAGGAATAAAGCAGAGGAGCCCCTTGGGCAAGCGGTTGTTTCATGTGCAGAGTTATTTATTGTACAAATCATCCAAACTATGAGCAGGCTTCATAAAACATAATAAACAAGGGAACTGGAGGGATGGATGAGCTGCAGCCACGCAGGGTGGGATGATGCAGAGCAGGACCTCAGTGGAACAGCAGCCTTTCCAAATGGCTGAGGAGGTCCAGAGCAGTTCCCCATGTGCTGCCCTAGCAAATGAGCAACGTGGAGCTGCTGGAGCTGTGGCAGTTTCTGGAGGCTCAGGGCCTGCTGCCATGTGTTTTAATAAATGGGTTCACACCAGCTGTCCGTGCAAATAAAACATTAGCATGTGTCAGACGCTCTACCCAGGCACTTGCTGTAACTTAGGGGACATTTTTCAGCAGAGCCACTCAAGTGCAGGCTGTGCCATGACAGTGGGAAAACACCTCCCTCTTTCCCCTGTGAATTATGGTGTGCCAGAGAGCTGCCCACACCCAGGCTCCCCTCACGTGTGTGCCCAGTCCTGGCTCAGATAAAATTCCGGGCTTTTAGGTTGAGGGGCTGCCGACTCCGTGTGTTGGGACTGATGGTGCACTAAGACTGTCAGTATTTCTTTCAGCTTTCCCTCTTTCCCCAGGTCCACTACTTTTTCTGCAGAAAACAGGCATGAAGGTAAGAAAGGAAGAAGTGAAAAAGGAAAATCAAATTGCACAGCATCTGGCCATTAAAATTCAGACCTTGATGAAAATTAGGGCTGAGAGTGTACAGTGTTAGTGGCACACAGGGCTGCACATGGTGGGACAGGACACTGAGTGGGCTCCTGTTTCAAGGGAGCTGGTCCCAGAACCAAACCCACAGGTACTGACCCACGAGTGAACAGGGGAAGCACCTCATCCTTCCTCAGAACTCTCTTATCTGTTGCTACCACAATGAGGAGCTTTTAAAACCTCTCCAGCTGAAATGGAGGAGGTTTTAAGTGCAACCGTGAAAGCATGAATTTACTCGTATGGCTTTAAGAGGTGTTTAATCTATGTGGAAAAAGAACCTAAAATTGGCTGCAGTGTGTTTCAGAGGATGTCTGCCAGCTAAAGCATTGACTAGACCGGAATAATGTGGCTATAATGGACTTACTGCTGTTACCAGATCTCATGTGGATGCCAATATCCAAACCAGACATCCCTGACTGACAGAAGCAACAGGCAAGCTTGGCAATGAAGAATATATAATAAACCAGATTCACAGGCTGATTTAAGCAGCAGCAGAAACGGTGACAAACAAAACTGGGCAATAGTACTGTTCTAAAGAATTCTGTGTTAGGGGCCGCACAGAGAGTCTTGATGGCATGAGGAGAGATGTGCTCAGAGTACAGAGCATGGTGACACACACTGTCACCCTGCAGATCATCTCACTTACTGCTTTTCCTGATTAGCAGTGTGTGCTGCCCTGAACAATTTGTAATTGGTAGAGGAATATCAGTAATTACTTCTTACAGTTGTTATGGAGCTTAAGTGGTGCAAGTTAATATGTGCAAGAATCAAATATGCTGAGTGTTGTTTGAATAATAATTTTTTTTCTTATTACAAGGAAACCTGGTTGTTCACTCAGTCTAGTTTCACTCAGGAATGCCCATTAAAACTTAAATACTCAAAGCAAATACAGAGGAACTTTTTGAAAATCAGAAATGTTAAATTGCTACAAAAAAACCAGGCCCTTCCAACTCAGAATATTCTGTGATTCAGTGAAATACTCATTCTGGGAAGCTTGTTCCAGTCCAGGGAGAAGCATTCTCCTGCAATGATCCCAGCAGAACCAAAGCTCACAGTGGGCTCTGAGGATATAAATGGTTACAGTGGCCCTATTCTGGGACTGACTTTCAATCAGTCAACAAATAAAACCACTTGGAGAACTAATGACTTCCAAAAAAAAAAAATTCCCAATTTACTTTAGACAGTTTGCCAAACAGGAAGAGGAGTGAAAACTGTCGAGTGATTTATTACAAGTGATTTGCCAGCTCAAGCAAGTGCATCATTCGGAAAACGAATGCAAAGAGATGCTGTAAAGCAGCATGAACCCACCACGAAAGACCAGGGCTCCAGACTGCCAACCAGCAAGACATCTGCACGTCACTCTCCACATCACCACTGCCCTTTCAGTCACAGATCTTCCATCATTTGTCTTTTTTTATACCTCTGCACAGCTTACGACGTGAGAATGCCGGCTCACACGCTGTGCGATGGTTTCCATTAACGCACTTCCAACCTGACTTGCAGCTGCTTTGCTGGAGCCTTCCCCAGTCCAGGGCCCTGCATCACATTGTGTGCTGCTTCCCTGTGCTTGGGGGAATGGAGTGAAACCATTAAACAACCTTCCTATCTTGGCAAATCTACTTTTGCAGCCAGATCCCCCAAGGAAGAACAGATTTGCACGGTTCGAGGTTTTGCTCCTTCTCGCTCCCCAGCAGCTATCTCTTTACTTTTAAATTAATTCACTAGTTAAATATATATATATATGAGGAAAAGCCCACAGGTGAACTTCACATACTGTGCATTCACCTCTGCCTACTCCTTACTTGGCTAATGGGATAAGGTATAGCCTGAATTGCAAGACTGTAAAATACATTGAGAATTGTTTAAACTGTAATCTCCAAAGATATGGATAGGAAGTAATCCGCTGGTTTTAGCCCTACCATGGTAACAATGAGCATCAGTTTAATCCTAAGAGGAAGATGAGTGGAAATAATGCATTTCAGTCCCATTGTTCTCAAATCAGATGGCTCATGTCTCCTCAGAGAGTGGAGAATTTGGGTTAAGTACATTGGGCTGCTGCTGACAAAACCTTCAAAGCATTTACAGGAGAAATGCAGCCCCACCACCTCAGAAGAAATTTAGGGACCACGACAAAATGCAGAAGGAATCCAGGGCTTCTGTGGGGGATAGATTTTGGTTTCCTGGAATAGTACAGAGGGAAACTGGGAGAGACATGTCTAAACATTCACTGGCTCTGGGCTTAAATCTAAATGCATGTACCTTCGACTGCTTTTAGTAGGAGAAAACGTTCTGATTCCTTTCCCTTTAAGTTCCCTCTGACTCTGGGAACATCTCAGCCACTCCAGGACACATGCAGCTTTAAATTCCAGCTGCCCGCTGATTAACCCCACCTGAAATTCATGTTCCAAATAAAAGATTGAGCAGCTATCACATGCAAGCCTGGCAGCAAAGGGACTATGGAGATTGGTGTCTTGCTCTCTCTGTCCCTCCTTCCGTGTCTCTTACATTTTTCAAGCCCAATGCTTCAGTAAACAAATGCCTCAACCTGTCAAAGCACTGGAGCACAGCAAGTGTTGATGCTAAAACCCATTCCACGCATGGGCATGTTGGATTTAGCAGTGTGTGGAGACCAGCAAAGCCTTGCTGAAGGGGCTGCTAGTTAAACCAGCTATGGATTTCCCCAAAACAGCAAAAATAGCAGCCTCGGGCTTTGACGATGCAGTTCCTTTTCAGATGCCTGTGCTACACCCTGTGTCCAAAACTTTCTGAAATTAGGAGCTGTCACTACACTGAGGAAACGGGCTCTGGATCAACACAAGGAACTGGGGGAGAGGGAGAGATGGGTTTATTCCCCTGATCTTTCTGGGCGCTTTTCAGCAGAAGAGAAGGAGACGCAGAAGATACAGAGAAAGGACGGAGATTTGGGTTTTTCTGGCGATGAACTGCCACCTTTGGGTGAACGTCCCCGGGGCGGCACGGCGGAGCGGAGCCGGACGCCCCGGGCTCAGGGGGGCACGGGAGGGTTGCACCGGCCCCGGGCAGGATTAATCGCGGAGCAGGACTTACGCCGGCGCAAGGTCTCAACCCGGCGCCGTGGGGCAGGAGGGGGTGCGAGATGTGGCGCAACAGGAGGAGCCCAGACGCCCCCAAATCCCTCCTGCCCGCACCCTGGGCCGGTCCGTCCCGTCAGGGCTGCCCGGAACATCCCCATTACTGAGCCAGTCCCCCGCTCCAGCCTCCCCCTCCTGCCCCGCCCGTCTCCTCAAAGTTTGGCCAACCCGGGAAGGAGGAGGCGGCTGCCCGGACCCTCCCGACCCCTCACCTGGATGACCGTCTTCAGCGTGGAGGTGTCCACGATGGTGGTGCAGATGAGGGAGTCGGGATCCTGGTCCTTGGCGTAGATCTGCCCCATGGTGAAGATCATGGGGATGGCGAGGAGGAAGGAGGCGATCCAGATGCAGCTAATGAACTTCTTGGTGCGGCTGCGGGACATGATGCTCTTGGCTTTGAAGGGGTGGCAGATGGCCATGTAGCGCTCCATGCTGAGGCTGGCGATGTTGAGCGCCGTGGCATAGGTGCAGGCGTCCCGGAGGAAGTAGTAGCCCTTGCAAACGGCCCCCCCGAAAGCCCAGGGATGATGGACCCAGATGAAGTTGTAGAGCTCGATGGGCATGCAGAGGAGGAAGATGAGGAGGTCGGAGAAGGCGAGGCTGGCCAGGTGGTAGTGCACGGTGCTCTGCAGGTTCTGCAGCGACTTCTTGCGCACCAGCGTGTAAGCCGTGATGGAGTTGCCCACGGTGCCCACCAAGAAAAGAGCCAAGTAGATGACGGTCACCATCACTTTGGAGTAGATGTCGGTGTTGACGTCCAGATCCTCCTCGTCGGGCACTTTGGGGAGCAGGTCGGAGCGGTTGGAGGCGTTGGCATAGCCGCTGGGGTGCGGGTGCAGGGGCCCGGCGGGCACGGCCGGGGCCGTGGCGTTCGGGTGCATCCCCGGGGCCGGGCAGCACCGCCCGGACCGGCCGCACCGCCCGGACCCGCCGCTGCCCCCGGCGGGGAACTTGGCTCGTTTTAATGCGGCGGGAGGAGCCGCCGGTCCCGGGGCTGCCGCGCGTGTGCGTGTGCGAGACGCGTCCCCCGCCCTGCGAGCCGCCCGCAGCCCCGGCTCCCTCCTCCCCGCCGCTCCCACGGCGCCCAGATGTGCCCTGGCAGCGCGGGAGCCGCCCCGCACACACGCACGCCAGCACAGACCCGCACACACACACACACACAAACACAAACCCGCACACACACACACCCGCACACAAACACAAACCCGCACACACACACACCCGCACACACGCCCGCCCGCCCCGCACAGCCGCGCCGGCAGCCGCCGCCCCGCCGGTGACCGCGCACCCCCTGCCCGCCCCGCCGCTGCCTCCCCCGGACCCGGGGGCTTTGTAACCCCAGCTGTGTCCCCAAAATGTGGCCCGTGGAGGGAGGGAGGGAGAGAAGGAGCGAGGGAGCAGGTCCCGGGCTGGGCTGCAGAGCTCCTCACCACTGGGACTCCCCCTCCTATCCATCCCTCACAAAGGCAGTCACAGAGGCACGGCTGAAAGCTGAGGGCTGGTAAGGGGCTGGTAGTGGGTCCAACTTGCCTGTTCCTCTCCCACAGGGAGAGGAGAGGCACCAGGGGTGCTCCAACACACTTGTACATCCGTGTGTCCCACTGGTCCTCAAATACCCACTCACCTGCTGCTGCTGCTAGGAGAAATGCTTTTAAAAGAAGGGAAAGCCCACCTAAAAATACCTACCTGTGCCCTGACCTGCCCGGGGCACCCTCAGTGCCATGGCACAGCAGTGACAGCTTTGCTTTGGTCCCTGTCCGTGACTTTTCACTTTGTCCCATATCCTCAGATCTGGGGATGTGGAGTCCTCTCTGAGCTGCCTTGTTGCAGGGGCAGAGGCTGTGGGGGTGTCAAGGTGATGCTGAAGGTGACAGGGGGATCCACCACAGGGAAGGACCCCCCAAGGCTGAATAGTCTGTGCTGGGGTTACCCTTTCAGCCACTCTGTAAAACTCCAGTGAGCTGTTTGTCCACTCAGTTGTCTTTATGACAAAATTTTCACAAATGCAGGGTATCAAGGAAAATCTCATTCAAGACATCACTGGTTTATCCAAAGACAGCCATGATGTGTCCCATTCATCACTCAGTTTCCAACAGCCAGTGGGCTCTGTGTTCACCCAGACTCCTTACCTAGCTGATGCAAGAAGATGCCTAATCCTTCAGTCAATCAAATCATCTCTTTTATAGGAATACCAAACTTTCCACAGCCATCCACCAAGAGCCAATATTACCCCCAGCTTTGCTCCTCTTACATTCATCCAGTAGGATCACCATGGAAGAATAACCAAAATCAGATTTATTTAGTCATCTTATTCATACAAATTTGGAGAGAAATATTTTCCAGCTCTCATCCCACACTAGTTTAGAAAATGACTAATAAGCTCTTAACACCAATGTTCCTTTCATTTGAGCTTTTCTGTTATGAAATTTCTATTAGTCGAGAGGAGTTTGTCAGAGTTGGTTTTCCCAGCTCCTCTCACCCGTTGTTCCTGGCCCTTGGACAAGTTCTTGAGATGGATCAAGAATACTTATCCTGAAGAAGGAAAGCGGAACATGACGTAAGTTGGTGGGGTGTACTGATGTATGAAGGGGAGCTGCAGCTGGGATACAAGCCTTCTCCTGGCTGCCCACTGCCCCTTTCCCTCAACTCCCAGTTTGGGGGGAGCTTATAGCCCCATGATCCAAGCACAAACCCACACTTCTGGACTAAGCACCTCTCTCACAGACACAGCGAGTGAGTTCCTTTGGGATCTTTGTCTGTAACGAGGATATATTGTCCCTTCTGGTGCTGTAACTTCATTTTGGCCTTGTGAAAAGCAATTGCTATCCCCACAAACAAGATACCCATCTGCTGGTCTAATTTTGCAGTGTGGATGTGCACGTTTATATCAATAACTGTCTGCAGAATGCTCTGGTTTGGATTTTGTTGCCTCATGTTTCTGCACACAGGCGATGTGCAGACACGGCTGCTAACAAGGAGAGTGAGTATTGCCTCTCTGTTCTGCCCCAGCAGCTGTTCCTGAGTGCTCCATGTGCTGCCTCCTCCACTTTCCCTCCACGCCAAGTACTGGCAGGGAATATCAAGAGACATAGTTTAAAAATAATTCTAATTACACACTGAAATAGCAGGTACCCGGAAATAATGTGGTGTTGATTTACAATCAACATTTCAACAGGCTGGTGCAGTTTGTACCAACCAAATCTCTCTTTTCCTAAAAGTGCATTGGTAGGGTACTACCCTAAAAATGGTCGGGTACCACCCCAAAAATTGGGTGGGACTACCTCAAAAAAGGGAAGGTCTCAGCAGCATATTTCTCTGAGCTAATTAATAAATTTAATAAATTCCATTAATTCCTTGGCAAATCTGTCTCAGCCACATGTGAAGCATTTACACTCTCACAGGCAGACAGCTCTGTTCTGTTTCTCACAGACAGAGTGTTGAGCAAAGACCTCTTCTCCTGGGATTCAGCCTTGCATTCCCCATGCAGGGATCAACCTCTCCACCTTTTCAGAAAGTTTTTTTCCCGGCAGGTTCTACCTTCTGTCCTCACATCACTTTTACAGAGCTGGACACCTACAGCTGGCCCATGCCTGAGCCCCTGCCAACCCTGGTCTCCAAGGAGGCAGAGGCTTATCCTGCCAAAGGAAGGCACCCTAGACATCCACCCCCTTCCCACCTCTCCCTGTAGCACCTCTTTTCCCTCCCCACTGCTGGTACTTGGCCTGGGGGATCTGTGAAGTCTCTTTCCACATGTGGGATAACAAAAAGAACGGCAAAAGTATCTCTTCTCATCTTCACTTCTGCTCCCTGCAGGTTTTAATCCATATTCCCCTTCCAGCCAAAGCAGAGCTGGAGTTGAACCACTCTCCTCTTGTGCCCCAAAGCCTCCACCATAAATCCCTGCTGTTTGTTTCGGAACTAGCCGACCTTTAACTAATCTGGGCTCGTTTTAATATATTTTGTGTGTGTGTGCCTGTGGCTTAAAAGGGAAAAGAATCATGGAAACTGAGAGATGCCTGATCTCAAATGTTACAGCAAGGCATTTACTTAAAATCTTGCAGGAAAATGTCACCCAAAGACCTCATCTATTAAAACTGCTTGGACTTTGAGCTGAGGGTCCCACAGTGCCTGAGATGCAAGGCCCACAGGATGCCTCACTCCCTTTTATGTTGACCTAAGTGTTTCTCATCTTTGCTTTTTCCAGGTGCAATTGGGAGTCACTAGGAATTTTTCATGTTAATCTTTTTCCTGTCTGATTTCATTGGGTGGGATTTTTCTGAAGGGCAAGGAAAGCAGCAGAGAGAAAGCTCTGCAAGAGGTTGCTGCTAAGAGACAGCACCAACCTTTTTCCCATCGAGCACCCTGCCCCAAATACCTGTTAGAGCAGGTTCCTGGGTCAGGTAATGCTGGATCGATTCAAGCCTTTAAAATCAGCTCCCAGTGCACTCACTGCAGTCAGGATCTCCCTAAAAGTCAGGAGTGTCTAAGGTGGGTTAGGAAGGTAAAATCCTGGGGTGTGCAGGGCTTTTCTGAATCATGCTGTGCTTGAACAGCAAGGAAGTAAGGGAGAAAGGGGTGACAGAAAAAGGGGCATCGATCAGCCTTTTGATGACAATATTGACTGCATCATCACTTACAGGCATGGGAATGCATCCCCTCCTACCCTCAACTTATTGCAAAATAAGGTGTTGTTAATTTGGCTGAGCAATAAAAGATAGTTACTGCCTTTGGCTGAACTGATTTCAGGAGAGTATTTTAAATCAAAACTGTTGATACATGGGATATTTATTACCTCTCATTTTCATAGCAAAGGCACCTGCTGAGACTCTGCAGTGTGAGCAGATTGGTGTGTGGGACAGTCATACCCCAAGCAAGGCAATGATCACACACCCCAGCATGTGTCCCTGGGCAACTTAAAAAAAACCCCCCACAACCCAGAAACCAGAACACACCAGGATATGTGTGGTGCTATTGGTAAGAGAATTACCCTGAAGTCTCTGGGAAGGGACAACTGGGAAATGAGATGTCCAGACACCTTCTACAGGTCATATCTTCTGTGTGCTGCAGGGACAAATTCAGTCCTTTGACAAAACTCCTTAAAAGATAATAGATGTACTGGCTGACATACCCTGTAATATTTGTCTCAGACATCAAAGACTGATGCATTAACTGGACACACACAGGAGATATCAACAGCTTTAGCTTAGAGATAAAGGAGTTTTGGGTCCCTCGAGTTGTTGCTGCAACAAGCCCAAATTTGATTCCTCATGGCAATAGATGCATTTTATCTTCATATATGCAGTATAAGTGCTCAACACACTGACATTCATGCTCACACACTGCAGGCAGGATTTTCTTTTGGAAATCCTCTGTTTTATTCCAGGAGCAAATATAAAGAGAAGGGACAGAGGAGTCCAAAGGGAGAGTTTGTGCTTGCTGTGGCTGGGACCTTCCCTCCTAGCCCCAAGCACAGCACATGCAGATGGGCTATTACTCTATTCCTAAGGGATTTAATCTGCTTTTGCAGCCCTGGCAGCAGCTCTGTCAGCTGTGCTTCCAACAGCTCCGCGCAGCGGTGCCGGCTCAGAGCACAGCCCTCGCTGCCAGGAATACTCCAGCTCCAGCTCAGCTCAGCTCCATCCCTTCTCCTCATACACCACACCAACATTTTTCAGGAAATCTCAGGAGTCACACATTAACTTCATTTTCTCACCCCTCCTCCCGGTAATTTACACCACTTTCCAAATTTTCAATGTGCCTGGAAATTGTAAAATGCAAATGGAAAAGCAGCATAGCAAAAATCCCTGGCAGCCAAATGCTCTTTACTGTCTTTTACCAGTAACCTTCCCATAGGTTTGAAATGCTCCCAAATCCTTATTAAATGCCTTGGATTTCAGGAAACAGACAAAGAACTGGGCATGCTTTGTTCTCTTTCCTGGTGTGAGTCTTTTTATTAAATGCTGGAAATGCCATGGGCTGGTAGGGCTTTCTCCTTGGCTGTGTCACCGAAAACACGACGTTTGTTCAGACACCCTTTTCCCTTGGTCCCTTACACCCAGAAAGTCCCT